ACATACATACATACATACATCATACATGCATACATACATACATACATACATACATACATACATACATACATACATACATACATACATGCATACATACATACATATATATGCAGGCGTACACATACGTATTTCTCCTATACATTCACCAGAAAAGAACTTTAGCCCAACATGTGGAACCTTCACTTAACCTCTATCACATACTTGTAGCGTTGTGCACCTTGCCCTGCTCGTTGACTAGGTAGTTCTACAACAGTTGGGCTGACTATGCGAAAACCACAACCGTCACCCTCTCTCTTCTCCTTCTCGCTCGGAGGTCTCAGTCGGAGTACTACCCTCATAGCCTCCTCGTTAGGCCTTTTACTAGACCCGTAAGAAGCAGCACTTGACGCACCCTTAAAATCAGAAGGTACATCATTTGTACTATCCACGTGAATACCCAAGCTTTGTGCGGTGTTAGATAGCCCTGCTGGCTGCTTGGTTGTGCTTGTAACTATAGACATGGTGCAATCACTGCAATTCGATCGCCTCGACTAGTTGTAATAGAGGGACTATATGTGTGTCTACTGAGGGCACTGAGGGCCTTTCAAAGTACCACCATTGACACGGTCACCCACTATGTGACGGCTATATTGCACAGGCTCTGACTGTATGTATGAGTGTATGTCGGCTCAATCGGACGACTGATAAAATGCACATCTGTTGTATCCATCTAGTATATTGTGTACATTTACTACATCGGGAGCGTATAGGCGTATACGATATTTATGATGATGAAGGGAGCATACTATTTAATATATAACAGAAAAGCAACCCGGCAAATGCAACTGCCATTTGGCCAGCCGTTCGTGTAGTACTTTCCCTCGTTTAGTTCTACGCCCAATCAGTACAATCTTCCTCAGTTGATGATTTATTTAGCCAGAAGTGTGTATTTATTCTTTAGTAGAATGAAAGTGTCTTTATATATATATATATATAGATACATATATATATATAGTTATGTATAT